GAGAACAACCTCACCGACGCGGTCATCAAGCCTCTCACTGAGGTTGAACTTGATGAGCGGATACGAGAGATCGCAGGGAAGAACAAGATGCTGAGGAGCTTCATCGGTATGGGGTATTGGAACGCGGTTGTACCCAAAGTTATCTTGCGTAACGTGAGTGGGAACCTTGCATATACAAACTCCACCTCATCCCTCTGTCAGATCACAGAGAACCCAGCATGGTACACATCCTACACCCCGTACCAGCCCGAAATCTCTCAAGGTCGCCTCGAATCCCTTCTCAACTATCAGACCATGGTAACTGATCTTACAGCGTTGGACGTGGCGAACGCGTCCCTGCTCGACGAGGCGACTGCTGCTGGCGAAGCCATGATCATGTGCCTCGCCACGATGCCCGCTCACAGTACCAAACGGACCTTCTTGGTCGATAGTGGTGTGTTCCCCCAAACGATCGATGTCTTACACACGCGTTCGATTGGCTTTGGCGTCAAGGTAGTTGTTGCTGATGTCCAGGAGGCGATCAACGACCCTGCGATCGCTGGTGACCTGATCGGCGTTCTCGTCCAGTACCCCAAGCAAGATGGCAGCATCGTCTACTACTCTGATCTGTCGAACAAAGTGCACGAGCTTGGCGCGCATATGGTCTGCGCCACGGACCTTTTGGCCCTGACGCTCATCAAGGCGCCGGGAGAGTGGGGTGCGGACATTGCCCTAGGATCTTCAGCCAGATTTGGGGTGCCCGCCGGGTACGGAGGTCCTCACGCAGCCTTCTTTTCTGTCAAGGATGCGCTCAAGCGAAAGATGCCTGGTCGCTTGGTCGGTGTGAGCAAGGACACTATGGGTAACCCTGCTCTGCGTTTGGCCTTGCAGAGTGAGCACCTGTCTTCTATCCAGATATACCGTCGCTAATAGACTGCGAAAGCCCGCGAGCAGCATATCAAACGTGAGAAGGCCACCTCCAACATCTGCACCTCCCAAGTACTTCTCGCCAATATGGCCGCAATGTATGCTGTCTACCACGGGCCCTCTGGGTTGAAGGCCATTGCACAGCGTGTTCAGCAGCTCACTCAGGCACTTGCAGCAGCTATTTCGGCGAAAGGCTACAAGATCACCAATGATACCTATTTCGATACCTTAACTGTTGAGGTCCCCTCTGCTGCCGATGTGCTGTCCAAGGCTCTCGAGAAGGGCATCAACATCCGCAGGGTGGACGATACTCACGTCAGCATCACGCTTGACGAAAGCGTCCGTCTCCACGACATCACTGCGCTCGCCTCTTCCTTCGAGGGGGCTACCATCCCGTCGTCGATCACTACTGGCGAATCTATCCCGTCTGCTTTGCTGCGTACCTCTCCGTATCTTTCCCATCCGACGTTCAACGCCTACCACTCCGAGACAGCCATGCTGCGGTACATTTACTATCTACAAGCTAAGGATTTATCTCTCGTTCATGCCATGATTCCCCTCGGCTCTTGCACCATGAAGCTCAACCCCACCTCGACCATGGCTCCCCTGACGTGGCCAGAGCTCGGCAGCCTCCATCCGTTCGTCCCCGAGGATCAAGCGAAAGGTTATCATGAGATGATCAAGGAGCTCGAAGACGACCTGTGCGCTATCACTGGCTTTAAGGCCTGCTCGATTCAGCCTAACTCGGGTGCTTCTGGAGAATACGCCGGCCTGATGGTCATCCGTGAGTACCTCAAGTCTCAAGGCCAGGGCCACCGTGACATCTGCTTGATCCCTGTATCCGCTCATGGTACGAACCCTGCCGTACGTCATCCTCCATGCCTAGCGAGTACACATACTGACCAGTACATATGTAGTCGGCAATGATGGCTGGCATGAAAGTCCTTTCCGTCAAGGTCCTGGCAAATGGCAACCTGGACTTGGCCGATCTCCGCGCCAAAGCCGACAAGTACAAGGACAACCTCGCGGCATTCATGATCACGTACCCGTCCACTTATGGTGTTTTCGAAGATACGGTTACCGAGGCTTGCAAGATCATACACGAGGCCGGTGCTCAGGTGTACCTGGACGGCGCAAACCTGAACGCTCAGGTGGGTATCACCAACCCGGCTACATGCGGCGGTGATGTCTGCCATCTTAACCTGCACAAAACCTTCGCTATTCCCCACGGAGGCGGAGGACCTGGTGTTGGACCCATCTGTGTTGCTGAGCACCTCGCACCCTTCCTTCCTGGGCATTCCCAAGTCAAGACCGGTGGCTCGCAGGCGATGTCGGCTGTCTCTGCTGCGCCTTTCGGCAGTGCCTCTATCCTCTCCATCTCATGGGCCTACATCAAGATGCTCGGAGGTTCCGGTCTGAAGGAGGCAACTTCGATGGCACTTCTCAATGCTAACTACATCGCCAAGCGACTCGAGCCTTTCTACCACGTCAAGTTTGTGAACGGCGCGGGCCGTGTTGCGCACGAAGTACTGATTGAGTTGGCCGAGTTCGACAAGAAAGCTGGCCTGAAAGTGTCTGACTTTGCGAAGCGCCTCCAAGACTACGGTTTCCACCCGCCCACCTGCTCGTGGCCTATTTCAACTTGTATGCTGATCGAACCCACTGAGTCAGAGGATCTCCAAGAGCTGGACAAGTTCTGCGATGCGATGATTCAGATCCGGAAGGAGGTGAACGACATCATTGCAGGAAAGCAACCGAAAGACAACAACTTGCTGAAGAACGCACCTCACCCTATCTCCGTCATCAGCCTTTCAGAAGAGGAATGGAATCGGTACGCAGAAACCGTATCGAAATAGAACCCATTTACTAAATGTCATACAGCCCTTACAGCCGCACCACCGCTGCGTATCCTTTGCCCTACCTGAAGATTCGCAAGTTCTGGCCTACTGTGACTCGCATTGACGATGCCTACGGCGATCTCAACCTGATGGTGGGTCTGGCGCTGTATTTGATTCTGGAATGAGAGCTGACGGATGTTACAGTGCACTTGCCCATCCGTGGAGGAAATGGAGGCAAAGTTCTAGATTCGTGTAGATACAGGACTTCAGAACTCCTAATTTTTGGTTTCCATGTTTCGGGTTTCCATGTAGACTGGCATTATTTTTCTCCTTTCCTCACGGGCTGTTCTACTCTCCTAGATGGCTCGCCCGGCCATAATCCGATCTGACAATAGTAGCATCCTCCTCTGCTCAACCAGAGCTGTACGAAACGTCTTGAATAGATACTGATTCTCTTACGCGTTCGAGTGAAAAAATATTTCGTTAGCGCTGGTGTGATCAAGATAGTGACTCATTGCACGGAGAAACCAGGGAGAGAACACATCAGCATTTGCATCCGGCACAGAAAGTGAACACTCCATATCGGGGTGATCGAATCGGGTATACCGCCATCTTGAAACTGTGCGGGATCCTGGATGTCAACCTCCAACCAACTTCGCAGCGTACCTTCTGGCGACCATGTCATCCTCTACGATTCGTCCTTCTTTCGACGACATCCTACTGCTCAACTGCCTACACCCGCACAAGTTCTCGCAAGATGCAAAACATTAGGCGGTCGACCTATGTCAGGACGCCCAAGACCTCTCCGGTACCCTGCTCTAGGCCTGCTTGTGAAATTCGGGGAATTTGCTAGTATCGTCGAAGTCTGGATGGATGCCATCCTACTGGGAGTGGTGCAAAGCAGGCTGGACAGCAAAACGAGGCTCAGATTGGCTCACTACACACTTACCGATGTTCATCGAACCGAATGATGTTCTCAAGGCGTGGCTGGTGTTTGCCTATCTTGTAGCGTTCTGACGTTTACGCACATTATCGGACTCCCTAAGTTTCAATTATACCTCACCTTTTTTGTACCATTGATGCGTGAAAGCATTCGTTCTCACAAACAAAGCACGGTCCAGCATTGTTCCCTTCGGTTCAATTCTGAAAGAAGATGTAACGAGCCGAGTATCTCCGGGTTCTTCTCTTGTCGAAGTGGATCTACTTGCTGATAGTATCTTAATTCATGAATAATACGCTGATCATTCCGCACTGGCCTTAACGCAGTCGACCTTCTTACGCCAAACTAGTTCACACTCGGCTCTTCACATGTGGTACATACTGGTATATGCGGACAATACACATGTCCGGCTGAATGGCCTCAACGAATCGCTTGACTGCTACCATTCGATCTCCTCAAACGCCTGAGATGTGCACGTCGGATCGTGTCAGACTACACCTAGCACCGTGGGAGGAGCTCACGTTTGGATCTATAAGAGATGAATGGTTTGAAATAGAACATGACCGGATTTCTGTTTCGGTTGTCCTCGCGATTCGTACCATTAGTCAAACGACATATACGAGCTCATCAGGTCGAAATCAGGATGGTCTTAGGTTTGCTCCGATCAGGATAGCATTTGTCCGCGCTCTTTAGGTCGACACGCTGTCACGGCTTGTCGATCAGTATTCTTCGCCGTCTTGCAAGTCTCTCGATGGTGTCTCTAAAACACACCCAATTCGTCTTGTTTACATTCCACACCTCTTTCCAAACGAAACCTCTTCACATCCATCACTCATTCACATCTTCCCACTCACTGCAAAGTCGGTAAGATCTCCTCGAGAGTATCAACGATGACTTCCACGGCTTATCAGCCCATCATCTTGACATAAGAAGAGGATAGAGTGTACTCTGATGATCCTCCTCCTGCTTCAAGCCACTAACGATGATCGTCCCCAGCGGGGCGCACGGCGCGCCCTTGATCCAGACGGGGAAAGCACCTCCATGCGCTGCAAACTCCGGAAAGGCGAGCGCCTCCTCCGGCACCTTTGTTTCCCCTCGCATCAGCAGCCCCAGCTGGTAGGGAGAGAACGCACCTTGCCCTGGGAGGCGAACTTCCTCCCCACGGGAAGAGCAATGGTTGAACCGCTAAACGACGTTCATCTTGCCGGTAATCTGTCCCCCATCAGCTCGCCTCCCCTCCCACTCCCACCGCACAGGAACGGGACTCGCCCAAACCCAGTTCCCAGAGTTAGTTGCACTCTCCTTCCCCACCGCGCACATAAATAGCACATGACCTGTAAAGGTAGATATGTGGACGACGATCTCCCTTTCCTTCCAAGCGTCGTTCGCCAAGAACCGGGCGCGGATAGCATTGCCCATTTGCCATGCTACCCCGGTCGTAAGGACCGGGAAATGGAGCTTGGATTCCTGCGAGATGGGAGATGCGTTGTTAGTGGGCTGAGGGGCAGGGAGCCGCGGGAACAACGGGACGAGGAGAGACGCACCTCAGATGTTGGAAGTGGCCTTCTCGCGGTTGATATGCTGCTCGCGGGCTTTCACAGTCTATTAGCGACGGCATATCTGGATAGTAGATAGGTGCTCACTCTGCAGGGCCAAACGCAAAGCAGGGTTACCCAGAGGGTCCTTGCTCACACCGACCAAGCGACCAGGCGTCTTCCGCTTGAGCGCATCCTTGACAGAAAAGAAGGCTGCGTGAGGACCTCCGTACCCGGTGGGCACACCAAACATGGCTGAAGATCCTAGGGCAACGTCCGCACCCCATTCTCCCGGCGCCTTGATGAGCGTCAGGGCCAAAAGGTCCGTGGCGCAGACCATATGCGCGCCAAGCTCGTGCACTTTGTTCGACAGATCAGAGTAGTAGACGATGCTGCCATCTTACTTTGGGTACTGGACGAGAACGCCGATCAGATCACCAGCGATCGCAGGGTCATTGATCGCCTCCTTGACATCGGCAACAACTACCTTGACGCCAAAGCCAATCGAACGCGTGTGTAAAACATCGATCGTTTGAGGGAATACACCACTGTCGACCAAGAAGGTCCGTTTGGTACTGTGAGCGGGCATCGTGGCGAGGCACATGATCATGGCTTCGCCAGCAGCAGTCGCCTCGTCGAGCAGGGACGCGTTCGCCACGTCCAACGCTGTAAGATCAGTTACCATGGTCTGATAGTTGAGAAGGGATTCGAGGCGACCTTGAGAGATTTCGGGCTGGTACGGGGTGTAGGATGTGTACCATGCTGGGTTCTCTGTGATCTGACAGAGGGATGAGGTGGAGTTTGTATATGCAAGGTTCCCACTCACGTTACGCAAGATAACTTTGGGTACAACCGCGTTCCAATACCCCATACCGATGAAGCTCCTCAGCATCTTGTTCTTCCCTGCGATCTCTCGTATCCGCTCATCAAGTTCAACCTCAGTGAGAGGCTTGATGACCGCGTCGGTGAGGTTGTTCTCGGGAATACGGATCCCAGCAGGTGCAGTGTCGCGTACGAAGTCCTCCAACGAGTTGTACCCGACGGTCTTGAGCATATGCACCGTGTCATCCTCACGAGGGCCAATATGGCGAGGGGTGAAGACGTCAAGCGGAGTCTCGAAGCTCGCGGTGGAGACGATCGAGGAGAGACGCTTTGGCACACGACTCAACTTTGACTTTGACGATGCACGCGCGGCGAGAGAGAAGCCAGCGCGCAGAGGACGTGCAGCAGCAATAGAACCTGCCATAATGTTGACCAAGATGTGGGAAGAGTGAAAGGAGCGAG